AATCAGCAGATATGGGATGGTTAGGAGGCCATGATGGTCAGAGGCCAATGGGCGAATGGCCAGGATGCCAGGGTTACACCCCTACTCTTTTTCGAAGGACATCCTGGGATTTTTAATGACCACAGAGAGTCAGGACCTTGGTTTTAACATCTCATCCGAAAGACGGTGCTTTTTTACAGTATAGTTTCCCCGTCACTACACTGGGGCGTTAGGACCCACACAGACCACAGGGTGAGCACCCCCTGCTGGCCTCACTAACGTACTGTGCCTTACCATGCAGTGGAAAAGCGCCATGAGACTATGTGTGCTGACCGGGGGTGCCTCACACATCCTGAAAAGTGAAGCTGCAGGCTCTTTAATCGCCCCCTGGTGGCTGGCTGCAGTACAGGTCATAAACCCTGCCCTCTTCATGTAAAGAATGGGACTTGAGTAAAAAAAAAAAAAGAATTCCACTTCCAATACAATTTTCCGATATATGTTGCATCAAAGTTTTAGTGGAAAAACAGTCCTCATCTCTGCTGAAAACCAGCGCTGACGACAAACGTGCTAATAGCAGCTCCAGTTGTGGCATCACGTGAACCCTTCATATCTTTTTCTTTACTACTATAGTATGAAATAATCATGAATGGACATCAAAAGGTAGGCTGTTTTATAAGATAGCCTACAGTACAACTTACTGAAATGTCTTCGCTCATTCATTGCTCATTCATTGTTTCAAACTGCAGAAAATGTGTAAAACCTAATGGCAAGTAGCAATACATTTATCACAGAATAACCATTTGGCGTCCATAAACTCATCAGTCAGCTAGAAAAAAACAGCTATAAAGAGGAGCATTTTGCTAAATTTATGCGCTATATTTTTACTTAACCTGTTGTCTACATGATGAGAAACAATGCAAGAAGCTAAAGATAAAATTCAACACCTCCTATAAAACTGCATTTTACTAATGAAGAAAAACAGACTGGATGTGTGAAAGACATGTGACAACATTTATAGGATGTATTGACGAGGAGCCCAAACTACACTCAATGGCCAAGTGATGCTGACATAGTTATGGTCCGTGATATTGGCACAAATTCTCTGTAATAAACAATTCTTTGTGACTATATAGTTCTCAAATCGGAAAAGACGTTTAGCTCCCACTTTAAGTGAACCTTAGTTTCCAGGACATCTACAAGATGGAATAAAACGCTGATAAAGACAAGAAAAGATGATACATAAACACATGACAATATGACTGAAATGTTCAAGTGGTTAAAAATATTAATAAAACATCTTTATTCTGTGGCACCTAAAAAAATATTTTGGTACCTAATTTTGTTTCTTATAGGAGCCAATGGCTCCTTAATTGATTTTTTTTGTCTGGAGCCCTGGTTACACAAGATAAATGTTGTATGCTTAACTTCATGATATGTGTGCGACACATAAAAATGGTGTGATTAATCCAATTAAAAATTTTATCTATTGACAGCTCTTTATACACACATTTATACATATATACCTATATACACATATATTTAAAGGGGTCATATGATGCGATTTAAATGTTTCCTTTCTCTTTGGGGTGTTACAAGTTCTTGGGTCATTAAGAAGATCTGTAAAGGACTTCCGGTTTGTTAAGATGGCGTAGACAGGCGTTGAGTCTCGCTCCCGCAACATTTTATTCTATAGCTTCCTTAAAACCCCACAACTTATTTCTCTTTCACTGCAAATTGGACAACATTTTTGGCGTGCACATATCAGTATCCAATTATGGCAGCTAAATCAGCAAAACAAGGCAAAAAGGAACAGAAAGATGTGTACATAATTTAATTTTAATTGTTTACTAAGTTATGTTTAAATGTATCATTTACCTTTTTAAAAATTAATTTATTTTAATTATTATTTACTATTTATTTATTTTTTATTTACCTTTTCTTCCCTCCATTATAGTGGGTAGTACTTACAGTTTTTTACATTTATTTTATTCCCATTTATATTGTTTAATCCATGACCCGCGCGGACTGGACTTTCTCTTCTGTCATTGTGTACGCACCTGTTGACTGTAAAACTTTGCAGTTGTGGCGTTCAGCAATATCTGATGTTAGAATATGGTTGGGACCCAATATACTTGAAAAGGGGTTGACCTTTAAGTAGGTGGCGGGAATGAGATGTCGGAAGTCTTGAGAGCATTGAGCTGTGTTGCTCGGATAATGTTTGCACTTTGGGGGATGTCTGTGGGGCTACAATTTTGGGTGGGTTTTTATTTTATTTTTATTTTTTTATTCCCCTCCTGTTTTCTGTCTTTTTTCTTCTTATTTCGCTTTACAGAAGGCCATACAAATTCAAGTCACCTCAACTTTCTACATTGTTCTAGATGGCTCCTGACACTTCAAAGATGGGTAAAGGTGTGCGCCTGATTTCTTGGAACACTAAAGGAATGAATAAGGCCGTTAAGATTGGTAAGGTAATGACGCAGATGCAACATTTGAAAGGGGATATTATATTTTTACAGGAAACGCATCTTAAAACATCACATGTCCAACGTATCAAAAGGGCTTGGATGAGTCATGTTTTTCATTCAAAATTCTCCGCTAAGGCTAGAGGGGCTGCTATTATTGTTAGTAAGAATATATCGTTTGAGCCAGTACAAGTTATTCAAGATGTTAATGGCCGTTATGTCATAGTATCGGGCTTGTTAAAAAAACTTTCCAGTAGTCTTAGTCTCTATTTATGCTCCCAATTGGGATGACGAGCAATTCTTCGTTAATTTTTTTGCTAAAATTCCGAACAGCGACAATCATCACCTACTGATTGGGGGTCATCTTCTAAGCAAATCAATTTATCAAATTCTGCTAAAGTAGTGCTTACTTGTTCATCTCATTTAGGAATTTCAGATCCTTGGAGATTTAAAAACCCCCATAGCAAAGTCTTTTC